TGGGCACAGTCAAAGCCTTTGAGAGGTGACTGAAAAGTTAGTGGTTTGACTCCACTAGCCATTGCTCAGTATAAAGATGTGGCAATCTCCTTCTGTAAAGATTACAGCATTTGACATCCTACATGTAGCTTTATTTCGTTGTATAGGGTTACTATGTTGTAATTGGTTCCACAGCAAGTGATTTGGTTTTTTGTTTGAAAATCCTATGGAGCATGGAGTCTATCTGAGGTGGAGTTGAGTTGAAGGCAACTGGTAAGATGAGTGGTGAATAGTAAGAGGGACAAAATTCTGATATGTCATATTTTTCATACTTGAGCAGAATATATTCCCTATTAAGAATTAAAAGCATAAAGAGGCAGAGAAGAAAATGTGCATGCATGCATGAATGAATGACCAATCTCTTCGTGAACCTTCACAGAAATGAAAAAAAAAAAAAATCACAAATTAAAGAAAAAAATTAAAAACATGTATTTGCCACCATACACCCTTGGTATGAGCAGTCAGGAAATAAGGAGATGCACTTCACTGGGGAAATCTGCAGTTAGGGACCTTTCCAAATTATTGAGGAGTAGTGATGTCAGTTTGAGGACCAAGGTCAATCTGATTTAGGCCATGGTCTAATTACTAGCTATGCATTTAAGATGTGGACAATGAATAAAGATGACAGAAAAAGAACTGATGCCTTTGAGCTGTGGAGTTGGAGAAGAGCACTGAACATTCCATGGATGGCCAAGAAAATGAAGAGACATGTCTTGGAGAGGGTGCAGCTGGAATGCTCTTTGGAGGCAAGACTGATGAGACTTCACCTCACATACTTTGGACATATTGCTAGAACGTGCTATTCCTTGGAGAGGAAGATGATGTTGGGAAGGATGGAAGGTTGGCAAAGGAGAGGAAGATCCTCAACTAGGTGGATTGACAAGGTGACTGCTGCAACAGGCTCTTGTGTGTCAGGAAGTGTGAGGGTGGTGCACAACAGGACTAGTTTCAGATCTTTTGCTCACAGGGTTGCTATGAACTGTACTTGACTGATGGTACCTAATAACAACAACAATGAAGAGCTATGATGGCATAATCCATAGCTAGATACATGGTTAAGCCAAAGGGCACACCTCTCTATCAGGCATTTTGAAAGGAAGATAGGCAATCTCCTCCAGTGTGGTTTACAGCTGTGGAAATTCACTGAAGAGTCCATTATGAATTGATTTGGACTCAACAACAATGAAAGGGATAGAGATATTTACCACTATCCCCTATTCCTGCCACCATTCAATACCAGAAAAGATGAATAATTGGTGAAGGGCAGCTATATTAATGGTAAATCCATATGAAAATAGAAAAAACAACAAAAAAACCATATAACACAACAACAAAAAAATCCCCAAACAAAACCAAACATTCCATCAAACCAAAACCCTCAGAAGACCCCACAATACAACAAACCCCAAAATCCAACAAAATACTTGCTACACAGAGATCATACCATAGAATGTTAATCATTACCTCTGCCTCTCTGTATCTTCTCTTGTGTCTTTTATTACTTCTTCTAGCCAGTGTTTCTCAATGTATTTAGGGGACCAATGGTCCTTGGCAATCTATCAAGTGGTCTGCAGACAATTTGAGGAGAAAGTGATAAATGTTTTGATCACACACACTATGCAACTTCGAAAAATAAGATTAAGATGTCTTTCAAAGAAATTCTGACAGGAGTGCTGTCTATTTCAAACTAATACACTATTCATATCATGTGAGTAGTTTATATGGTTAAGTTTATATTTTATTGCTACTACTATTACATGTGTCTATGTTCAAACAAATTTAGACAAGAGTGAAAGTGATAAAAATACATAAACTTAGAATGTCATAAGTGAAAATACTATCTAAAATGAAAATAGTGTCTTAGAATGGGCTCTTATCAGTGAATATGGACTTCGTGCTAGTCTGCATTAGGAGACCCCTTGTTTCTACTGTACTGTGTCTTATGAACATTATGAAACAAACAAACAAAAATCACTGAAGCTTTAAAATAATTTTCAATTACTCTACTAAATAAACAAAGCTTCCACTACAAATTTTGTTACTAAAAACAGACATTAAAAAAAACAAAAACAACAAAAAAACAAGACATTCAAAGCAACTTCTTTTAACAAAGAAACATTGTGAGATACAAAATTAGTGACAAAAATGCCATGAGAAACAATATGACCTATTGCAAAATTCCATCATCAGATGATACTACTCAGTATTATGTAAAATCCATGGAATAGCATGAAGGAGAATGATCACAGATTGATGCTTTGAGATATTTTGTTTTATGGATGCATGAAACCACTAGTGTGCAAAGTGAGAATTAGTACTTGGCAAACATACAACATGTAAATCATGAAATACAAGTGATTTAATTCTGATTATCAGTGCAAACTTAAGAGTTACTGAGAAAGCTGTTTAACAAACCTTGATGTAAATTTGAAAGGTAGACTAGGATCAATATGAACAGGATACTCTCTAGACAAGTGTGTAGCAAGAAAGAGCACAGTACTTGAAAGTCAATTCACACAAAACTTCATCCAACAAACAACTGGCTAACCTTTGATACTACACCCTCTACTACTGAGTCACTGATAAAGAACACAAAAAGAATATTGTAGATATAATTCAAACTGCAGTCCTTGAACATGTTATATCAAGAAAGAAAATATAAATACAAAATCACTTTCCTTTCCTGAGCTCTGGTGGCCCAGTGGTAAGCTACAGTGCTGCCAACTCAAAGGCAGGCAGTTCAAAATCCACCAACCTTCCTTCAAATTCAACGAAGAATGGGATATTTTCCCCCATGCCATTAATAACATCAATAAAACATTTCTGCTATTTCAAATGGCTTATGCAAAGAATGTATTCTATGACACGCGCAGAGCTTAAAATCTGCATTTGAGGATGAAATACCACAACTGTTAAAATAAAAACACCAAAACAAAATAATAAAACAAATGGCTTAAAAGAGGAGACTTTGGTCCTTTTATTAATTTTTTTCTCAGTAATAGAAAGCAATGTCTTACATTTCCTTAAAAACCACATTCAGTTACCGCAGTAAATCGCTAAACATTTCTTAGAACTGAATACAACCAAAACTAAAGAACAGAATTTTACCCACTGCCATTTTTCAAAATATATACTCTATTGCTGAGTAACATACATTTGTCAGTGCCTAATAGAAATAAACTATCAGCGAGAGATACGGCAATCATTTTCGTGCCCATCCTTAACCTTAACCTGACTACCTAAAATATCTAACAGAATCACTATGTACTTATTATTCCCAACAATTTGTAAATTAAAAGGGGTAACTGCTTAATTTAGCACAAGAAGTGGAAAATAAAGGAATTAAATATAGAAGGTTTATAAAACCTTAACTTTGACATCAGGGAGGAAGAAAACAATGTTGCAAAAGACTGCTACATGGTTTTCCTAATGCTTAAATTATTTTAAAATACTGCTTTGAAAAAAAATCAGCTTTAATTTTATAATTATAAATTCCTGGATTATTCTTTTGTGTTGATCTGTAATCAGTAGTGTGTGTGTGTGTGCGCACGCGTGCGTGCACATATATCTCATGTGATTTATGCATTACACATGTTTAAGAAACATGCCTTTTAGTTAATATTTCTTTCTAAAATTGTTATAAAATAAAACTCTGAGTTTTGTTTGTCCTTATATGTTGTCTTGTTTAAAAAAACAAAAGTCTGATTTCAGTAGGTAGCCCCAAACCAAACTCATTGCCATGAAGTCAATTCAGACTCACGGTGACCCTACAAGACAGAGAAGAAATGCCTCACAAGTTTTTTATTTTTAAAAATATCTTTTAAAAAAAACAGATGGCCACATCTTTCTCCTGTGAAGTGGCTTGTAGTCTGAAGCACACATGGTTAGAACCTTAGCCTTTAAGCACTACACCACCTGGACACCTTTAATACATATGTTGCTGCTGTTATGTGACGTAGAATGGGAACCAACTCATAGCTCACCCTCTACTGGATTTTCAGAGGCTGTAAATCATACAAGAAGAGATTACCAGTATCTCTCTTGTGGAATAGCTAGTGGATTAAACCTGCGGGCCTTTGGGTTGGCAGCACAACTCCTTAACCACTAGGTCACCCAAACTCTCTCAATACATATAGCACATAGAAACAAGCAATATAACCAGTTTCTCCTCAAACTCCACAACCCCACTTTCCCTAAAGTTCTTTCTTTTTCACCTTCCTAGAACTTTACATATTTTGCCTTTTTATTTGGCTACAATCAAGGGTATTAAAAATGTTTAACAACCGACATAGTACAAATTCCAAATAAAGAGAATGGACAATAGCTTCAAAATTGTACCTATAATGAAGTATGCTGACAAAATATTAACACCTTCCTTTGAACAGCATGGCTCCCATTCTCAACACTTGGTTATTATCTGCCTGCCAATTCTTGGAAATGGAGTAGCAATTTACATGAAAGAGAATCACACAAAATGAATGTCAAAGATGAGTTTGACTCTATTTCATGAACTTTTCCTTTTATTCTTTAACAGGAGAATTAAGGATCATTATTAGAACGGCGTTTAGGGCTCCTGTACATAGGGTTGCTATGAGTCGCAAACGACTCGATGGCACATAATAACAACAACATTAGAAAGAACACTTTCATTCCCCTATACCAACTGTTACCAGAGAATGAGGCTTTTTAGTCAGCCTATCAAAGCTCTGTTATTTGACACTATCCACACAATAAATATGTAAGTTCTTTCTTATCTCAATCAAATAAAAAACTAATATACAAAAAAATGGCTGGGTTTTAGGACAGATTAAGGATATTATAAAGTTATAGCAAAACAAATAAGTGTCTGATGATTAGAGAATAAGAGAAAAATGAAATACAGAAATTTAAAAAAAAAAGAGGTCATTTGAGTTATGTAATAACACAGAACATATTTGTTCTGCTTATTAGGCTCTTCTTACCCAACTTTGGGAAAACTATTAAGTATTCAGCATTGCACTGGGGACACGCCACTCTGGCTGTACTGTTTCCTCTTTGTTTTTCATCCACCCAGCGCTGTAGACAAGCCTGGTGAACCCATTTTGTAGATCCTCTGCACCTGCATGGTCTCACCCATTCAGCTGTTCTATCATCTTCATCAGTGGCAAAACATACCCAGCAACTTCTGTAAATTAAAAGAGAAAATGATTTTATCTTTAGGCCCCCAACATCATTCTTCTGCAGCTCTTCCTTAATGGAATTCTTATTGCATCCAAGTTCTCATCTCCTAAATCTATATAACTTAGCAAAAATTCAACTCAACTCACTGCGGCCAAGTTAAAAATGACACATAGCTCATCTTGCTTCAGAGGCTGTAAATCAGATGTCTATCTTTCTCCCTTGGAGCTGCTGGTAGATTCAAACCATGAGAGAGGTATGGCTTTTGGATTAACAGTACAACTCCCTGTGGGCGATGTCACCAGAGCTCACCTAGGGAGAAAAAAGTCCTGCCAAAACACCAATACTGGAGCACTGGTGGCCTAGTGGTAAGAAGCTGAACTGCAATACCCAAGGCATAGTTGCTCCTCAGGAGAAAATAGACAATAGTCTCCTGTGTGATTAACTGTCTGAAAACCCACCAGAGTCAGGTATAGGTTGATTTGGATTCGACAACACACAAAAAGTGCTTCTTAAGGGAGCTCTGGTGGAGTACTGGCAAGACGCTGCACTGCAATCCCAGATGTATGCAGTTCAAATCCACCAGATGCTCTGTTGGAGAAGGAGGAGACAATCTCCTCCTGTACCAGTCAGATCTGATTTGACGGTACATGTAAAAATAGTGCAATAAAAAGTAAAACAAAAAAAAAACCAAAACAAAACAAAAAACAAAAAGTGCTTCTTTATACTTAAAACACTCCCAAGAAAACACCCCAAAAACTTTATAAAAAATATATTCAATGTAGATGTTTATTGGAAGGCACAGTTTTTATTTTTCTTCAATGATATCTTAAAATACAGATTTCCCTGTACTGTTTTCAATAAAAGATGTAAGACCAAATGATTTTACTGGATTGTTTTTGGTGTGCTTTATTCCTTAGTATACTAACAGGCTATTCTAAAGGTTGGGTCTGTGGGGGCCTAAAGAGCTCAGATAAAATCAGACACTGAGAAGAAGCCACCACCAAAGGCCAGACGCAGGTGCAGATGAACACTGGAAGGCTGAGATGCGAAAGGGAATCACAGTAAGCCACACTTAGAAAGAAAGCTGGCCCTCAAAATATGAAGCAAATCATGACAAGTCTAAAGAAGACTTGGAAAATGTTTGCAAGAGCAAAAACTGTAGCTTAAAACAAAAACAAATGAAGTTACCTTTAGTCAAGGGGTATAATGCCAATATGGCAGCCAATAACCACACATGGATATTAAAACTTAAGTTAAAAATAGTTTCCCAGCTTTAAACATGAAATATTCTCAAAAGTTTAGTTGTTTAAAACCAAACCCACTGCCATTGATTCCCAGTTTTATCCTACAATTGGTGTTTGAACTACCTTTTTGATAAGATTTGAAGACTGTCATCCATACGTATTATCTTTGTTTTCTAGCATCATAATTGAAGGGTGTCTGAACTGCCAGAGACTGTAAATTTTAATGGGAGGAGACTGCCCGTCTTTTGTTTCATAGCCATTAGAGCACTCTAACTTCTGGAGATTTGTGCCACTGGAGCTCAAAAACCCATGGTGGTTGATGAATACAATATTGGAGAGTACAGAGAATAATTCCATCATTGTAGAAAGTTCTATTGAACATTGTTGTCATGCATGACTGAGTTGAACAATTCATAGCTGACTCCCAGTGGCTTTTCAGATGTAGTAAAATCGCACAGAGGAGATTGACCTGGCAGGAGATTCTCCTGGCAGCTGGAGCAAAAAGGCAGGGCTGCTGATAGATTTGAACTATGTGCCTTTTGGGTTGGCAGCAGAACTAGGAAACTCAAATAATGAAAAATGAGGAAGATAAAAACAGCCTACACTCTAATAAGAGAACTATAAGAAGGGTACTTTAGAAAAGGAATATGGAAAAAAAGAAAAGGAATATGACAAAGAAAGAAATGGAACAGAGAGATGAATCTGGGAAAAGTGACAATCCACTCAGGTCCTGTGATTTACATTAATGAATATTTGTTGTCATTTTCCCTCCAATAGTTAACTGGCAAACCAGCCTAATAAACCATCAGAGCTGACCATAAAGAAATCAAAGACTTCTGGGTAAAAAGTCTAATTTACTATCAAAGCTGACTACTAAGAAATCAAAGAAAGGAAGGCCTGGAGAAATTTCCACACCCAGCCCAACTATCAGGACCCAGAACTGACGTGGTCTCAGGGTGAGAGGGGCTGCCACAGGGGAAGACAGTATGGGGGAGCACAGGTGGTGAGGACCCTGTGCGTCCCTTCTTGAGGTATCTGGAGGACACTGCTAACTCTGATGTCTCTTGTCAAGGGGGAGAACGGAAAAGTGTTTTGAATTTTGTTTTCTCCATGTCTATTTTTACTAATTTATTTACTTCTGCTTCCCCTTTGTTTTCTTTCTTTTTTTAATTAAAGAACAAAGTTTTTATTACTTTGTAATTTAAAAAACAAAAAAAATTACTGAAGAACATTGGAGGGAATTTTGCACGTTTTTCCTGTGTAAATAGAGGACTTTTCTGAGCTTTATTGTGGTTGTTAAATTGAAGTAATAAAGTAGAAAGGGCAAAAAAAGAAAGAAAAGGATTTCTGGGTAAGACTGCAGACCAGCAAGCAGGCCAACCTTCCTGAACTAAGATACCTGATAAATATAATACACACAATGATAGTCTGGGAATTTTAAATTTATTTAAAATTTTTTTTTTAAAAATTATTATTATTTTCTGTATGTGTACCATCAAATCATAGCTGACTGGTACAGGAGACTGTCCCTCCTTCTCCAGCAGAGTATCTAGTGGATTTGAACCATGTGCATCTGGGATTCTGGAATCTTAAAGTCAAACAAACAACGTAGTTCAAATATCAACTGAAGGAAGAAACTCAATGAAAACACTGAATAAGGAGACAAAGAAGCAAACTGTCCACAGTGCAGTGTGGCCATTTTGAAAGTAGGGAGCACTGGTAGCCTAGTGGCAAGAAGCTGCACTGCAATCCCAGAGGTACAAGGTCAGTCAGATCTGATTTGATGACGTACACACACACACACACACACACACACACACACTCTCTAAAAGAAAATTAAATTAAAAAAAAAAAAAGAAAGTTGTAGGGTAGCTTTCTGATCAGCAAGGGGCAATCTGCTTGTTCCTCATACACTTCTGGAAATCAAGGGAGCAACTTTCCCATGCCACTCTCCATAGCTGACAGTGTTTTCTCAGATTGCCCCAGTGTCACCTGAGGCAGGCTTGCGACATTTTTATCTGGTGCCAGGAACATGTGCAGCACATCTCTGTATTCAGACACCCTGAGACTAAGCCTCACAGCCAGCTCTTGGACTGGTGGAGGCACCACCTCTGACTAATAGTCTCCCTTGCATCCCATTGGGCAGCTTTGTGGATTCTGAGACTCATTCATACTTGTAGTAGTCCACACTTCCAGCAATGTGTCATCTCTGACAGGGTGCATCCATACCCCGGACTTGCATCATCCTGACCAAGTGGAAGAACCCAGATGTGTGGGAGGGGAGTAGTAATGCTGTTCCTGATGCCCCTGGATGTGAAGAGATGTTGTCTCTGGCTTAGGACACATCTTGGGCCCTCAGCCACATTTCTACAAGAACAAACTCTGACCTGACTGGGCACCAAACCCGAATGGTCTGCTGGACTGATAAAACACTGCCCAAGACACATCTTGCCTCCACTACCTAACAGCAATGACTAGAGGACCAATCAGGGATCCCTTCCCATCCAAGGTCCCTCTTTTTTCTCCAGCTTTTCGGATTTTTTTCACTTTGCTTTTTTATTTCTTCCTCCTCTTTAGCTCCCTCCTCTTTCCCTTGTCTTTTTATTTGGATTTTCCTTCCTTTTATACCCTTCTCAATTTGGATGTTTCGTAGGTGTTTTTTTTTCACCGTCTAATCTTGGTTTTGAGGGTTTTTTTTTCTCTTTCTCTCCCTCACATGGCAACAAATAGCAACAATATTAGTGGCAAGGAGCTGCAACTACAATCCCAGAGGCACACGGTTCGAATCCACCAGATGCTCTGCCGGGAAAAGGAGGAACAATCTCCTCCTGTACCAGTCAGATCTGATTTGACGGTACACTCACACAAAAATTAAAAAAAAAAAAAAAAATTAGCAACAATATCTACAAAGCCCAGCCACACATTTCTCATGCTGCTTTAAGAATTGAGCATGCCTTAACACTGGTTCCTGCTCCACTTGAACAACAAAAGACCACAAATATCACCAGATCAGGTTGCCTTCATCTTCCCTATATGAAGAAAAGCACACACCCCCCTCCATCATTTATTAAATCCACCAGAGGACAAGAGGCGAAATACTAAGAATTGCCAATTTAGCAAGCTGTGAAGCACACTTGCAGGGTTCTATCAGATATATCAATACAAGGGAATACAAAACCAGCAACACTGTAATGTCTTGGAGGTAAGAGAGAATTTTAAGGCCCCCCCGCAGCCCCGCCCCCCCCCCAAATCCGGATAAGATGGCACAAAAAATGACCAAAATACAAAATCAGAAAATATATCAAAGGAACAAAGAACTACTGGAACTTCCTGACAAGGAATTAAAAAGAATGATAGGTTAAGTGTCTTTTACTGATTGAGGAAAACTCAGAAAACAAAATTTTAAAACTGAAATAACAAACAGATAAATGGAAACTTAGAACAATGTGTTTTAGGTATAAGTAAATATGACATGATATTTACTGCATTACACGGGCTGTTGTGGATTCAAACAAAATTAACACGTTGCTGCACACTTTTTAAATTGACGACCATGCTTAGAAACTCATTTGCAGTAATTTGCGGCAACGTGTTTAAATTACTGACAACTTCAATCTTTTGTTCACTCATCATGATGCTGCCTATTAGTCTAGTTGGGAAGATTTTTGTTTTCTTTGTGTTGAGATGTAACCCATACTGAAGATTGTTGTCTTTGATCTTTTTGAGTAGTACTTCAAGTGTTCATCACTTTATGCAAAAG